AGCGTAGTCTGACCTACCAAGCCGCAAAGATGCATGCCATTCTACGTATAGAGAAGAAGCGGGCCAAACAGAATGACAGCGCGGGTAGTTGCATAGAGAAAGGGGATACAGTTACCAGCGTGGATCTTGAGACGGTCGAAGTTACATTGGTCAATCTCAACCCATTCAAACCCATTTGGGGTATTCTTCGTCGTAAAAATAACCTCGCTATTATCTTTACATCCGGTCAGTATAGCATCAGTGCATGATTTGACTTATTTATATCTCCATTTGTACAGGTTTACTCTTCTCGCTTCAGTATAGGATATGCTTTACTGCCGCTCGTACTCTCGCAGGTTCTCCATACCGATATGACTCTCTCCATATTGGGCTGGTCTTACTATCATTTGGTTTAGGTATTTCATCGGCTCATTGTTCCATAATTCTTTACTGACTATGAAGTGCAATAGGTAATATGATTGGCAGTGTATCAGGTGGCAGATGGTCAGACTGGACCTATAACAAGCTTCGAGCTGCCGACGGCGGCAATGGATGGCCAGAAGTTCGTTCTTCCTTTTGTTTTTAGTGCCTCATGATCTAACTTTTCTCATAGATGCGACTCAGAAGTACCGTATGTGGAATGGTAATACTGCCGCCATCCATTTTTGCATATGCCTGGACGTCTCAAATGCATACTCATATCGCGGGTCCAGTCGTCATACTCTTCGTTGCTGGATTTGCTATACTGTACGTCCCTTCACTTGTGATACCAAAGACAAGTGTCAATTTCATTCTGTCTACAGCTTCATCTACAGCAGTACAATATCGTATATTGTCGACGCTAACACCGGTCGCTCTACTGCTGCCTACGCTTGTAATACGTGCTTCCGTGGCCTGGCAGGGATGGTCGCCTCAGAGATCGCAGCACCGTTGCAGGATAGCATTGGGGATGGTGGTTTGTACAGCATCTGGACAGGTTTACTCATAATTATGGATCTGACGATCTTAATGGTCATCTGGAAAGGAAAGGCTTGGAGAGAAGAGGCAGAAAGAATAGAGCTCGCAACGAGTGCAAGGAGACCTCCCACAGGTGATGGCGACAAGAATGAACTTGGGTGATGCGACGTGGCGAGATAGATGCTTAGAGGAATGGACACCGCAAGATAAGAACCGATGTTTTGAAGAAATTATGCCTCAACAGAATTGTACTTCAATTTGCAACACGAATTGTTTCTTTATCACCACTCATTCATCCTGTAGCATAGTAGACGGACATAAGTTTGACATCATTTAATTGACAATTTTAGGCAATTAATTATGATGATTTATTATACGTAGTAACAAACACCACCCTCTCCTAATGTGCCAGACTCTGGCGAGCCAGTTGCGCGGTGGGGGCCGCCGGCGCCTTTGGACCTAACCATGTCTTGCGAGATTCCTTACCGGTCCAGTTAGATGAAATCAATACATTGGTCGCCTATCATCATCATATTACCTAAGTGTATCCTCCTCACTCGAACCATCCGCAGGTTGTTCCCTTCGCGCTGAGCCAGTATGAGGATGAGGAGCTGGTACGTATGCTAGGAAGCAATCTATTTCTTTCTTTCGTAAAAATGTATGCTCAGCTCGTCTCCGTTTAGTCATACTTATCAGTTGTGGATAATGGCGTACCCACTAGAGAATGAGACCGACCCAAGACGACTTGCTCGTGAGGTCATTCGTGCCATGATGGGGACCACTTAGGCTATTCAGTTACTATTAAGGCGTAACTTGACGTTGTAGTGACAGAGAAATAACGGGAAAATCTGTCTTCACTTGGACTTCCTTTTAGCGGGGACCGTGCAAAGGAAAAGTAAGTCTCTAGGGTATCCAATCTTAAGTCGAGTCACTCTCTAACAACTTTCTTGCTTTGGTCATTATCATCACGTCACTCGTCAAATTTTACTCGGATGGCCGGTCGAAACTTCTAAGGGAAT